TAACGAATGTAAAAGTGAATTATGTTTTTTTTTTTAAAGATAATCTGATGAAATTTAGCATTTTGGTATGTAAAGATAAATTCATCTTCTTTGATAAAATGGAATACATCTGAAATCTTAAAAGTAAATGATCTGTTTGATTACAGGGGATCCTTTAGACCACTTGACAATTTTTCCAATATTATTGCCAAAACTAACTGGATATGTTATTTTTGTCAGCCACTTAAAATATTCGTAAAGTACCAACAAAAAAAAATTAAATCCCTTCAGCATATTCTAATATATTTGAAAATCAAGAAATTTTCTTTACAAAAATCTCATGGAAAAAGTTTGTATACTTGTTTTCAAGCAATATTGCCTTTGGAATTCCCCGGTACTCGAAACATTTGAATTCATTTACAAAAAAAGATGACCAAAAAAAGAGATGAATTATGTATGTATCTGCATTGTAACAAAATAGAAACTTTGAAACATGATTTTTTAATGTAATACTGTGTCCAATATAGAAAAACTATAACAGTTCTTTATCGTTTAAAATTCAGTGGGAACATATTGTAGTTGTTGTTTTTTATGAAAAAATATGAAAAAGAGAATTATCTAAAGAACTATATATGGTTTCTATTATATTTTAGCCCCCGTTTTGCTAAAATTTAAACGTCAATTAACCTCAGTGAAATTGATTTTTTTTGAAAGATGAGAATTCATATTTTTCTTTTATGGTTCAATTGATATATTGATTTAAGTAATAAGCAGAGAATTAAAGGTTTAAAGTGAATAAGTTTACAAGAAAATGTCAAAAAGTGGGATTTTTGACATCGTAAACGGCGATTTTAGGTATGTGCGACGCCTTGAACAAGAAAGATATTTACACATGTAAAGGATATTTTCAAAGAAAGTCTTCATGCAAAAAATTAATCTTGTTCAAAAAGTCGCAAACACTTAACAATTTAAAAAACCTTGATTAAAATAGCACTTTCTGACTCGCGTGACGTCACAAGTAAGTACGGAGAGAGAGAGACGACGTTGTTGACAGGTGTTTTTTTTTTCGAAGTAGCGTCGTCTATCGATGGCTTCATGCAGGCCCTATGTTTTCCAACATTAACTTCTAGACATATCTGTTTTTGAAACATATTTGTGATAAAAAAAATATATTTTATCGCGATCGATCGACATTGATTTGTTGATGTCTGAATGTACCGGTGTGGATCACAAGACAGAAGGAACACGTACGCTGATAGAATTTGATCTTCGAATCGCTTAAACTTCAAGTCTGCTGTACAAGAAATTTGTTCACAGAAGAAATATATACAGTATACTTTTTATGAAATTATCTTATGTAGAAATACGTTCATTGTGCGTGCATATTTACATATATGTTGTCATTTCTTCCCATATCGTTCATTGTTTACAAGGCAACAAATGTACGGCCAACGAGACGTGTCTTTGTTTTTTTTTTCCTCGAAAAATTAAACATTATTCTAGGAAGTTCGGGGTATTAGTAATTAACTAAAATAAAACCAGCTAAAATAATTTTCTTTCAATCTTGAGTACACATAGACGTCACAACAAAAATAATATATATATTTCTATCATTTAATTTTAATGCATAATTAACTAATTTATTTTTACCAAATTAAAAAAAAAAATAGGCTTTAAAAAAAAAAATAAACATAATAATCACAAAGCTTTGAATAAACATTTGATTTATATTGTCACGGTGCTACAAAACAATAAAAATGCATCACATTTTTAATTCTAATAATTCATTAATTTAATTTCTTATTTTTTAGGGTTAATTTGTTATAATAAAATATCAAAGTGTGAATTATTAAACCACATACATAGTTGTATCATGATGGACCTGTTATACATGAAGTACATATTCTCTTTCTCTAAATACATTTTTTTACTGTTTACTGCAGTAGCACGTACTCAACAGAACATCGAATTTTTTTACCTCATCCATTGTAAGTTTTTTTTTAAATTATTATAATTATTAATTCCTCTTTATTTGAATTAATTAGTTAATAGATTGGCATTTACTGGTTATGAAAGAATAGTTAGATAAAGAGAGATGATTTCTCTCCCGGACTCTACAGATAAGTCTCAGTACATTTCTTTGCGTGTTGAAAAAGTGGTGTGTGTTATTGATACCTTCGTAACACAATCAAGGCTGTAACTTGTACATGCATTGCTTGTCGGAAAATCTCATTAAAGTTCTAGTTGAGATTAGATTTATTTTTTATCGAAGACGCATAAGACTAAAGTTATTGATTACTCAGTATATTTTACTGATTCAGTGATTGCACCCTTCCCCTCTATGATATTAAATCAATATTCCAATATTTCATCAGATCTTTTTATTGAGGCGCCTGCATGGTGCAGTGGTTAGATCATTTGCCCATTAGTCTCAGAGTATAGAGATCCTCAAGTCGCAAGTTCAAATCACACTTCGGAATGGAACATAATATTTTGAATAAAGAGTTCTCGAAAGGCTAGATAAAAAAAGCAAACAAACCAATCTATACATTGAATTTGTGTATCTCTTAAATGACCAGTTATATGAATTTGTATTGTTTTCTTTATCATTTGTATGTTTACTTTTAAAAACCTTATATCATTATACCTTTGGAATTTTTTAACAACGTACTGTAGGCAATAATTGCTCGAACATCCAATTCTGAAACTAGAATTTATTTACATGTTTATAAGAAAGTGCCATAGATTTCAGTGGAAAGAATATTAAAAATGATTGATTGATTGATTGTTGTTTTATGTCCCTCTCAAGAATTTTTCACTCATATTGAGACGCCACCACTTGCCCATAGAGGGCTGCAAATTCTAACCTATAGACGGCACTTAGGGCCATTGAACAGTGAAAAATCTTTTTCATGCGATACGGGACCTCGGTTTATACGGTCTCATATGAAGGACCGGCCTCTACGTCCCGCAGTGGGATTCGAACCCGCGACGTAAGGATTGACTCCTTACCTCGCGACTCTAGAGCAGACGCTCTGACGCTCTAAACAATGCGCCACGCCGGCGACACTTTGGCTAGAATCATAATTATTCATAAATAAAAGAAATACAAGTCTATATGTTCGACTTTTTTCTGCACTTCAACTATGATCATGCTATGCAAAATATTAATGTTCATATTGCAAAAAACACTGTAATGCTGAATGATACAAATGTATTTTTATATGAATTCCTTGGTAAAATGATAACTGATAAAATCCTATTAATAGCATTTTTCATATTTTTATCTGCCAGTGACTTGAATTTTATAAATGATCATGGCATATCTGTTTTTTTTGTAAAAAGACTGTGAATTAGAGATTTAATCGTCATAAATCATATGTATACATACACTAAAATATAAGGTTCTAATGTTTCTTAGTTGCAAAGTTATTATCGGAAAGGACTGCATTAACGGACAGACTTATTGTAAGTTGATTCCTGTCAGCAACCACGCCCCTCAATCCTCGATACCAAGTTTTTGTTAAAATGTTAAAAATTTTCTTTTCCTAAAAAAAATATAGTTTAACATAAAGAAACAAACAAAAAAAATCACAAAAATTGTATCAAAAATTAACGATTGTTTTTGTTAGGTAAATAACAACAAAACTGGTCTGAAGGAGTAAGTTTGTAAAAATGGTTACCATGGCAACGGGATTGCCTATCGATTTAAATATATTGTCCTAGTAAGAGAATCCCCTTAGGATATCCAAAAATACAAATATAAACATTTATTGAAGATTTTATAGATGCTACCAAAATTACATATTTCTTAATTGCCAATGAAAGCCATAATTTCAGATATGAAGGAATAAGTTTTAAGATGGTTTCCATGGTAACGGAATACCTATAAATATTAGATATATTTTCTTAGTAAAACAGCCACGTTGACATATCCCACAGTATACGTACAATCAGTAACTTAAGACAATATAGTTGGTATCAAAATTAAAGATTTGTTAAATGACAATAGATGGCATTAGATGCCAGATTCAGAGGTCTGAAGGTATATGTTTTTGACGGTGGTTTCCATGGCAACGGAATGCCTGAGCAAATTAAATTATATTTTTTTAGTAGCACCCTTGCCTTCTCCCTCTCCTTAGCAAAGATAAACATTTTCTGAATGGGGGCCTTAATTGGCTGATACCATATATAGTTCTTTACTGAATACTTGTGTAGCATATAGAATTTATAAAAATAAAATAAATACATGTTCAACCATGTAAAAAAAGATCGCTTCTACTCTTCCGTATTACATCATCTAAATCATAACATTAAGCGTAAGATCTTTGGAAATTCTTCTAAAATAATGTAGTGCAAAATTGTCTATTCTTTTAATCCGTACCACTGGGAAGAATCCTGTCTTTCGGTAGTGCTGTCGTAAGGGGGTAGCAAATAGACTGTCAAACGAAACGACCAAAATCTTTGATAAATAAAATACAACCTCAATATACAGATGTATTTTGTCTTTTTTCATAGCATTTGGGAAAGAAGGATGTGTAAAAAATGATAATAATTACGACTGTAACAATCATTTGTAAAATGAAAAATAGTTAGTAAATCCTTCTGGTGTATTCTAAGCATTTGTTAGGTACTGTATTCTTTTAAAAACAAAATAAAAAAGAGACAATCATAATCGTTGGATATTAAAGTTATAGAGATCTAGAAAAAGAAGGAAAGGGACAATACTTAACATGGAATGTAAGCACTTGTCTACTTTTCTCAGCAGGGACAGTGAAAGGATCAGCACTTTTTATTTACATGTGTATCAGTGCCGGTTTTAAAAAGTTCAATAATTGTCTAGGTTTTGCAGTTTAGACAGCAGGGTCATACATAGTCTAAGTTAGTCAGTGCAAAAATGGAAAGTCAGTACGTTGCTGAATTACTTAAAGGTCTATTTTGTATGTTTTTTAGATGGATCTAATATGCTAGTTACAATAATCTGTTCGTTGATCAGATACAAGTGTATTTTTGTATTAAATTTAATCATCACAATGATTTTTCAGATAGTTTTTCCTCTCTATGTATCTGTATACACACACTTTGTTGCTGTCACATGATCCGATCCAGAGAAGATGATTCTTATGATCAAAGCTCAGGCACATTGGTCTGCCTATCCCTTGATCCTGTGTCTGAATCTGCATCATGAAATGGCCGTCCTTATCGATCAAATGTATTGTGTTGGTCTTAGAATCACACAACAGAATGTTTGATAATGTGTCAGTACAGATTCCATGGGGCAGGAGATCTGACTCTGATGGGTGGCCTGTGTAGGAGAAGCGATGTCTTCCTTTATAATCTATGACCACTACAGCACCACGGCCATAATCATTATTATCAATATCGGTAAGGTCAGACACAATAACATCTCCATTGCGGTTCTCTGTGATGTACCTTGGAAGACAATAGAGTTGCTGCCCTGCAGTGTCATGTTGTATTGTTTGTATCACTTTTCCTTCGTTGTTATACCGTGTTACTTTGCCTGCCCAAGTATCAGTGCTCAGCATCCCGACCAGAAGGTCATTGTTGGAGGGTGAGCAGACCACACAGAGCGGTAGCCATGGTGATCTTTTCTTCATTAGTGTAGATTTAGATCTGGTGTCTTTAAAAAACTTTTTAATGTTATAATCCCTATCTATATAAATAAGATCACACGTCATGTTCACTGTATGTATCCCATAATTTACCAGTCTTATACACTTTAGATGATGTAGGTTGTGACCTTCAACGTTTGCCAAAAAAAGATGGATACCATCACTGAACCAGACGTGATCTGGTGTCGCAGTGGAAATATGTGTGACACCGCTAACTCCTGTCAGTGAGATTTGTAGTTTACTTGTAGGTTTTGACATTAGTTGCAGCTGACAAACACTTTCTATTTGTCTTTTTCCTTCCTCTTTGATTTTGATTTCACTCAGTAACTTAGTCACATTTTTCATATTAATTTCTTCAGTCAGATAAAACGCAGTGTGTTGTGCCAGATAATAAATGTCTTTTATCTTTGCAACTCTTGTTTTCTTTACGAAGAAGAGAAATTTTACCGCTCTGTTTGATAACCGTTTAAATACGTGTTCAAAGTTTTCTATGTAAGAAAGGTGTTTGTACACTTTTCTATTTTGTTCTTGTAACCTTTGTATAAAATGGCATCTGTATTTGAGTTTAAAATCATGTATCTCAGTGTCCATAATGGCCTTTAATCTTGCTGAAATTTCTGATCGACGGTTGGAGATACCTGTCTGAACAGTCTCTATGTCATTTTTGATTCCATCAAGCAGAAAGCAGCTGTTATAGAGAATCTCACGTCTGATTTTATGAAATATTTTTTTGTATTGTTGACGGTATGTTTTATATGCTTTCCTTATATCCAGTATTTGATGTTTTTGGTGTAATTTACATTGGACACAGATAGGAAAGTTGCACGAGTCGCAAAACATTTCATGGATTCTGTCTGGATGTTTGACACATCTCTTTTGTAATGAAATGTTTTCAAATTTCTCGCGATAAATCACAACATCATGGTACATGGTATCCAGATAAATAACGTGTCCATCTTTACACTGTAGACACAGGTCTTGGTTACACGTGTTACAGTAGAATTCTGTGTTTTGATGTTTTGAACATATTTTATTGTATAATTTATACAATGGGATTGGTAACAAGTTCTTGCAACTTAAAAAAACCTCTCCCTGACTTAAAAAAACCTCTCCCTTATTCTGTGTCCCCCTGACACTGAAAACACCGCCGAACTTTACATTGGGGACTGAGTGTTCCATAGTCTATTTCGTTATTTCTGTTTGGATGTCCCAAACAGGTTTTCTCTTTGAAGAAGTGTTTATATTTCTCACGATAAAACTTAGCATAATGGTTTCTGTAATATGGAGCTGATACATGTTGAAGTAAACACTGTTGACACATGTCATGATCACACTCCCTACAGTAGAATTCTGAGACATTCACACATTGTACAAAATGAGAACACTGTCGAATTCTGTATTGCACAGTAACGCTTTTTTCTCCACGAAGAGTCTTATATGTCATAATGTTGTGGTATTTAGTATCAGAGTTTTTTTCATGCATCGTTTTACACTTTGAACATAGATCATATTTACACGTGTAACAGTAGAATTCTTTGTCCCGTTGACATTGAAAACACTGTTGTACTTTATATTGGACGCTGTATCCTGGCCTATCCATATTGTGGTTCTAAAAATGATGTATAAGTTCTAAAAATAATACATCTTAATCTTGAATATAAACATTTTGTTCATTCAAACATTATATCTTTATCAGAATCTAAGAGGGTGACTAGGGTTTCCATTGCGCAATACTTTGCCAATCACAATAATATTTTAAAATTAAAGCAGATGTTTTTTTAACATCTTTAATAAAATACAAAATTTAAAAATAATGGTTGGATATTTTTAAAAGCATTATCTATACGCTTTTAATATTCATAACATAGGAATTTGAGGTTCTCTCAATCATTTGTTTTGATTTTTGTTGTATAAATCCTTTTGTGTCTATTATGTTTTGAAGTATTCCATAAAACATGGAAATTTCATTAATTTTGACGTTTTGAAATGCCCCATTCAGAAACAAGATGGTAGATTCTTGTGTCATTTAGACTGTCTATGAATTTGAATTTTATTTTAATCATAGCAGATCAAGACATGCAGATCCCCCAGAGAAAAGAAGCCTGGTTTGAATACAAAAAAGAACTAATGATGAAGTATGAAAAAATAAACATTTATCAAATATACCAGCAATAATTTAAAAGAAAAATCCAGTCCTTACCTTCTTATATTAAGAGTTTCAAAAATACCTAATCCTCCAAGCTAACAAAAACTGTTTGTCCTACTACCAACTCCTTATCTATAAATGTTCAAAACATGACAAAGGAAGCCAAAAAGTGCAATTTAAAAATAAATAAAAAAAAACATTCAATAAAAGAAAAAGTAGCCATTTCAAGTAAAAACTACGTTGCTCGATAAAAACAAAAGTATTTGTTCAAAAAAGGGGAAAAGATGCATATTGACTTACAGAAAAAAAAGTAATATGGGTTGTCCTGTACGTAAATGAAAACATTTTTTTTAGTGTTTTCTGCATAAAATATTATCATGTAATTCAATTGGTTAAATCATCATTAAGCATCGCAATCATGTAATTCAAAACCATGAGGATTTCAGAATGATATGGAGATAAAGAACAGTATTCAATAACAAAGTCCATAAAACAATACAAAATAGGAGCAGAGCAAACTCGGACCTCCGAAACATCAGAGGTGGGATCAGGTGCCATGGAGGAGTGAGCATCACCTGCTACCGCTCACACCCGCCGTGTGCTCAGTGTCATGATCGTGAAATAACGGAAAAATCCGTCGTCAATTCAGTGTATCAATAATGGACCAACAATTTGTATGAAAAACGTCAGTCAGCATTTGACTGAATGATTAATTGTATTTGCTGACAAGGTCATTGTATCGACCATAGAACTTACGAAATGATGACTTTAAACGAGACTGCTGATATTTTTGCTTCATCAACTTGTTTGTCAATAATTTACATCGTTTTGGAAATTGTTCATACGTAGAGCATGCCCTTGCGTATCGAATCAACTGAAATATATACACTTCATATGCAGGTGATGAAGGTATATTGCTGCATAAGTAAGGGAATTTAATATTTTTCTGAAGCTTAAAAGAAATCCTCCTGTTGTAATCGTTGACTCCATTATTCAATTAATAAAACGGGAATAGCTTAGTGTAAATGTAAAGTGTAAGTGTAAATATTTTCCGATTTCGTTATCAGGCTTGTGTTAAGTCGAAAGAAAAGCAGGTCAATACAATTCATGCTACATGTAATTAACATATTCTATTTCTGTGATAATTTATGTCTATGTCCTTACTGCGTACTATTAAATTTCATGGGTTTATTTTTTTTTGTGTTCAATATTTTTTCTTTAGTTTCATTTTCTAAAATTATTCATTTTGTTTTTATCTAACATATGCATTTGAAAGTTCAAACTAGTTTTGGTTTGCACTTTCGGGTTTCCGTGCATGTCAAAAAGATTTTATGAAAATTTACTGCAAGGTAAAGTTACCGCGTTCGATGAAATAAAGAATTGATCCAGATAAGGCTGTTATTTGTTTAAATTCTGCACAACAGTTTAAAAAGAATGTTGTGTACGTACGTTTTAACCATAAGGAATCCGTTACACAATTATGTAATACTTTTTATCCTGCAACTAGTCTTGCATTGATCTAATTAAGATTACCTTATAAAATTAAACTTTATTCAGTAAATGTCCCAATAAAGCCTCGTGCACGTACCCAGATGTTCAAAAAACATTGTGACATTTGGTCGAGAAAATTGCTCGTTTTGGAAGTCATAGGAGAATTTATTTTACCGGTCCCCAGAAAAACACGCAAAAATGTAGTCTCGCCGAAGGCGACTTCAGTATATATGAGGTCGCGTGAGCGATCGAAAAAATATCTAAATACGAGGTCTTTGGGGCTTTTGACCCCAAAATCGAATTCTATGGTTAAAAGCTTAGTTTAGAAAATCGTTTTCAAACGAAATTTTTAACCCCGTTTTCTGAAAAAAATTAATATTGTTTATTCATTGAAAAAATAAACAGAGAATTTTCTGAACGAAGCGCGTACGGCGCATGCGTTGTGCCATTTCTTTCGGACTTAGCCATTCTTCCATGTAAACTAACGAACGAATTTGCCTTTGAAGCTGAATTATGATCTTGGAAAAATACCAAAACAACTGAATTTCTTAACTTATCTTAAAAAACGAGTCACTATCCAAAATCCATCGGATGATATGCAAGGACTAAGACGTTTAGACGAAATCTCCCGGGCAGATGCTAGACTAACCGTTATCAGTTGCATTATGTGCGATGACTAACCCCAATCTCTCCGATGGATGCGAGACTATCCCTAATCAGTCGAATACTAGTTCAAGGACTAACCCTAACCTCTCAGGGAGTGCAAGGCTAACCCTTATCAGTCGAATATATTTAACCCATGTTAGTTGAGTGACGTAGTTGTTACGTCATAGTCCAGTGAGCGCGAGGATCTCTCAGATCTGGGGACCGGTAAAGTAAAGTCAACCCATATTGCCTACATAAAATACATGTCCATGGTTACTGTCTATTTCAAACCAGTAACAACGTATTTTGTTTATCCTGTTACTGCTTTGAAATATTTTGACTCGGGTCGAAAACGTGATGGAGAGCTCGGCAAGCCCCGCTGTATTTTCACGTTTTCTTTTTATTTACCTTCGCCTAAATATGGCTTTTAATTCAAGACAGTAACCATGTATATGTAGTTTATGTAGGTATTGAGTTTCATTTGTTTCTCATGGTATCTTGCTTTTCTATTTAATAACATTTCTACAGTGTAAAGGAAAAATCATAAAGAGTACATACAAAAAAGGAAACTCAGTGTGATCGAATGTCTTGATTGAACTTTTAAAACTGAGGATGATATGCATAAAGTGCTAAGAAAAATGTGAGAACGAAAAGAACTTGATCTCAAAATTCCTTTAAACAGTACAAAATGACATTGTAGGGACCCCTGAAACATCAGAGGCGGGATCAGGTGTCGTGACAGAGCAAGCATCACCAGTTGACCAGACAAACCCGCCCTGTGTTCATTGTCATGAGCAGAGTCGTAACACGTCGAGTTGACAGGCGCGGATCATCAGATCAAACGAGACGCGAAGCGTCGAGTTTGATCTGATTTTCCGCGCCTTTCAACGAGACGAGATACGGCTCTTAGGATCAATTTACTGATATAATGGTAAATTTATTATATCCCCCTTTAAAACTAGCTAAATCTAGCAAAATAAAACTAAAGAGATCATTTGCAAATATTTATTTATAAAACAAAGCATAATAACAAGGAGTTTTTTAACGCTCAAGAAAAATAACG